ATCTTCCCAACCCAGGGATCGAACCCAGGTTTCCAGCATTGCAGGCGGATTCTTTACCATCTGAGTCACCAGGGAAGCCTGGAATTCAAACTGGATTCTGTTTGATTCCAAAACTCTGTCTCTTTTTACCAACTTCACCACCTCAGAGACTTTAGGAAAGTCACGGCATCCCTGGGCTTTAGTTTACTTATTGCCTCATGAAAGAGGAATTTGGTTTGTTCTTGTGAGGTGACTTCTGTTGAATTCTAGGAAAAGGGGAAAGAGGAGAGTCGAGAAGAGCTGGGAGAAGGGGGATCAGACAGGGTGTCAAGATTTTGTGAGGCTCATGTCTCACTGTTTATAGCTTTGTGTCCACTTACTGTGACTCTTCTTTGTGATGAATCACAGCTCCCTTTGGAAGTGTGTGCTCATCGTGTTCTATAGATAAATTTGTGTTTTTCTTCTTATTTAAGAGAAATGTAAGCAACTGCAGTATGGACAAACCCATTCTAAGAGAAGTAGACTTTCAAACAATCTAGGCAGACTTCAATTCTTATTTTTCAAACAAAGTGGTGCAACCTCATTATTCATCACATTAAGTTTCAGAAGTACTTGGATTTGAATTACTAGCCAGATGTGGTAAAAACACACCCCTCTGAAAACATCTCTTCAGAAAGATTCTAATTCTCTACTGCCTACAGTCACACGCAGCAGGTGAGTCCAACTCACAGGGGATTATAAGGAACAGAGATTTTCCTAGTAAAGACTCAGAAATCAGATCAGAGTCAAAATAAAAAACAAGCTTTTCCAGAGGCATTTGCTCAAGCCAAACAGTAACTTTGCACCTATTCGCAAACTGTGGAAAGAAATACAGGCCTCCTGTTGGTCAAACGTACACACCACACACAGCACACATGAACCACACACCCCACACATACACACCACACACACACTACACCCACACCCTACACACCTCACACCCCACACAATACACTATATACACACACAACACACACCTCACACACTTCACTCATATCATACACACACTACACACACACCACACACACCACACACACACCTCACACATATACACTACATACACACACCTCACACATACTATACACACCACACATACCTCACACACTACACACATAACACACACACTACACACACTACATACACACCCATGGTACACATACCACACATACCATACACACTTCACACACACCACACACACACACATCACATGGTCATTATTGTCATCACTAGTATAAACTCTAAAAATTAAAAGAGAGTGGAAATAAAATTTATCCTGGAAAAATAACCACCAATAGAATTCACATTTAATGTAAAGAAGCAACAAAATTTATTGACTGAATTAAACACAACATTTAAAATGGCAGTGCTGTATTTTCATTTTAAGATGCTTGAATGAAGAAAAGTGCTATTAGTCCAAGCTTCTTACATTCATTAAAGGAGTGACTATCAAAACCAGCAACATGCACAGTGATACATATGCACGAAATGGAATTATATCAACAAATATACAAAATACCCAAAATAAAATATTTACAGGTTTAAAAATATAAACATTGGTTCATCTATCCCATTAAACCATTGGAGAGGAGGAAAAAGAAAAGGCCCTATTGTTATTTAGAATCCTTTTTAAAAACAAGTCTTAAAAACATAGAGTAATTTTAGGAGACAATTTCTGATATTGGGGGAGTTTAACATTCTATTATAAAAATAATATCTATAAACCTACTAACAACTTTCCTCCTGTGCACAAAAATAATACAGCCAAAAGCTTGTCCTCAGAGATATGCTTGACTTTCAGGAAAACTAATTTTAGAAATATGGAGTTTCTTATTTGGATTTTCTTTGTCTTTATTTTCAACAACCTGCAATTCCCTATATTAAACCGAGATATTTTCTATAAATAACCTGGGCAAAACTGAAGTTAGCAATGAGCGTGGTATGTAGCTGGAGTCCATTAAAAATGACAGGAATTTATTTTGTCTATAACATCTAAACCATTTTCCCTGATATTCTTGGGAAAAAAATACCACCATCTGATCCTTCATATTCAGCTAAATGTATACAATGTTAGGCATTACTTTGTTAGAGTTTTTCCTCCTCTATTTAGAAATAACTCTATAGTGGGGCATATTTGAGAAGGTTTACTAATTCCTCCAGGCACCCTGGGTTCATTTCATTTTATGACATGATAATGAGGATTTCCTGTGTGTCAATTTAATGCCCCTGTGTCATCTGATCAGTTATTTTTAGTATTTTCTTTTTTAGTGTATTAGGTAGGGATCTGAGAAAGTTTATTATGCCTCTAACAACCAGTGACCTAGGTTATATTTTATTAAAAATGATCTCACATAGAGTAGAAAGTTACTCTACCTAATTATTGAATAACTTCCAAAAATTACTCCAGTTTACTATTCAACACAATGATCACCTGTGATTAAAAACTTTCACTGCTTCTCATTAAGAAAGCATTTCACCAAGTGTGGGCAGCCCATATATGAATAAAATAACCTCTTTAATTGTGACAGTGATGCATTTCAAAATGATTTTCCCTAAACACTGACACTTGCAACTTCATAGAATCAGAGTGGAAGAAAACAGGTTGTAACTTGCCAAATTCACTATTGAAATTGCTTTTGTTGGTTTTTATTATTGACAAAGCTGTCATCAGATTATAAAATCTGTATGCAGACCTGCTAGCATGCAGTAATTGGTGCATATGGCCTAAAATTTTGACTGGCCAGGTGAGGAAAACAAAAAACAACCCTGCTAGCTCCAAGATCTGCCTTTCAGACTTGCATGTACAAAGGCCATCAAATAATTAAAAATAAAAAAATCAAGTTCACTTTTTACTGAAACAGTCATCCTTTTAATGGTATCCACAATCATAAAACTCTGGTTTGACTCTTGCAGTTCAGAACTTTGATCAGTTTCTTAACTAAATCACACATAAATTTAATCAGATGTCTAAAAAAGACATAATTAAAGCACAAGCAATAGAGTTAGATTTCTGGTCCACATTCTGTCAGTGGCTTGCTAAATTGCTGCCATTTTCCAAAAGGAAAAGATATTTTACCTTTTCATCATTTTCCTCCTCCATAGAACAGAACCAAGCCCCACCTTGCCTGATTCTTCTGGACAGAATGTCAATGAAAACAGAGCACCATCTCAGCTCACAATAAATCCACAGCATAGGTTTAGACTTAGAGGTGTGCATGAAATATTAGTTGAATGAATGAACAAATCAGAAAATCCAGGCCAGCATTCAATGACCAGAGACAGAACGTGGGATGTACTACTTTCGAAAGAGCCAGGAGTTTGTCTCGCAGTTCAGAATCATGTTGAGGTGGATGTCACTCCACCAGCCACTAGTTCAACAAACAACACAGGACACCCAGAACCAGCCTAGACTGGGCTTAAAGGTAGAAAAACAAGTGAAACGTGCTCAGCATGACTGAAATCCTATCAGGGCAGAAGTATCACCATGACAACAGAAGAGATGTCTGTCTACACTTTTGAAGTTAATCCCAAGAAGGTGCAGATCCCTCCCAAGCAAGGAGGATTATCTGCCTCTAAATGGTACCCAGCGGCAGCCTCCCCCTGGAATGATGCTGAATACCACCATCTCCGACACAAAACCAATTCTCAGCTGCATGACATGCGTGGGCTCTTTCTCTGTTGAAAGTGAGCTGTTGAGATTTAGCAGTTCTTAGTGCTTGTATTACTGTAAATCATTAAAGAGTGTCTATCCTTGTCCTGGGTGAAGAGAGAAAAAGAGAGGGATGGATGGAATGAATAGGATAGAAGTAAACCAAAAGAATGAATTAGGTATGCTCTGTGAGGGAGGTAATATCATTTAACCCACATGGCTGTGAGAGGATTGAGTAAATATTTGTAAAGCTCCTGGAAGGGGCTGGCATGACGTACTCGACAAATGTTAATTGTTTGTATAATTACTACTCTTACTTTTAGAGGAATATGTGTGTGTGTGCTAAGTTGCTTCATTCGTGTCTGACTCTTTAAGACCCTCTGGACTATAGCCCGCCAGGCTCCTCTGTCCATGGGATTCTCCAGGCAAGAACACTGGAGTGGGTTGCCAGGCCCTCTTCCAGGAAATCTTCCCAACCCAGGGATTGAACCTGCATCTCTTATGTCTCCTGCATTGGCAGGTGGGTTCTTTACCACTAGCACCACCTGGGAAGCCCTTTTAAAGGAATATGTTTGACTTAATCCATACCACCCCTGTTCAGTCTCACTGCATTCTGCTCCAACCCACAGACTATCAGCAAAATAAATAAATAAAAGTATAAAATGAAATAAAGGATGTTTCTAATGAATATTAAGAATGTCTGATTCCAGTACAGCTATGTGTGAACTCTGAAATGAATGGGTTTTTATTAAGCACAAGATCCAGTATAAGCCCCTTGAACATGTGTTGCATTGAGTTAAAGTAAATATCAAAATCAGATGTGCCCACTTTCAGTTCTGGAGGCTTAGTGGCTATTTTAACCTTTTGTTTTTCAGTTTGAGAAGGAATTGCTTTCCATAATCATGAAACGATCATTCTGAATCAGCCCTTAGAAACATTATCTGGGGAGATAACTGTCCTCGGAAGTGGCTATTGTTGCAACAATTGCCTCCTCTCAGTGGTCATCACAGTGAAAAGGCTGTGAGAGGCCATGCAGGGTGGCCTTCAGACAACCTTCAGAGCAGGACAGGGTTTGCCCTGAGGAGGGACCACATGCCCAAATCACCTGTTATAGCCCCCTCCCTTCAGCAAGTATTAATAAATGTTGGCCTCTGGTTTTCCCACCTGAGAAACCAGGCTGCCCTGTTAGTCTTTGGCTCCTAAACTCCTTTTAAATATTTGTGCATACAAAATTGAAGACTCCTAAATAAGAACTGTGCTGTTCATCCCTCGGTCTGCTTGGCTAGCAGAAGGGAAGTGGGAATTGGGCTGGGGTATTTCAGTTTCTCCTCTTATTTCACCCAGGTACTTCTAACAGGCCATCCCCAATTACATATGGATGTGAGAGCTGAACAATAAAGGCTGAGCACCAAAGAATTGATGCTTTCCAACTGTGGTGTTGGAGAAGACTCTTGAGAGTCCCTTGGACAGCAAGGAGATCAAACCAGTCAATTCTAAAGGAAATCAACCTTGAATATTCATTGGACGGACTGATGCTGAAGCTGAAGCTCCAATATTTTGGCCACCTGATGTGAAGAGCTGACTTATTAGAAATGCCTCTGATGCTGGCAAAGACTGAGGGTGAGAGGAGAAGGGGGTGACAGAGGATGAGATGGTTGGATGGCATCAATGACTCAGTAAACATGAGTTTGAGCAAGCTCTGGGAGATAACAAAGGATAGGGAAGCCTGGTGTGCTGCAGTCCACGGGGTCGCAAAGAGTCAGACATGGCTGAGCGACTGAACAGCAGCAGCAGTGGTAGGAAAAAAGAGGTAACTGTGATGCTTTTTCCTTATGTTTAATGGTGTAAGATTCTTGGATTAATTTTTTATCAGTGATAAAGGGAGCTGAGTATACATGTGAATGTAGAAGCCAAGCACAGGGGGCCACATCCACATAGTCTTAATGCAAGAGAGAAATCCAGAATGTCTGTGAGCGAGGACCGAGCTCCACTGTGCAAGTGTCAAAATAGGCGAAGATGCTGAGCAGCATCCCAGTCTCTGCTCCCTGAGGGCACCACGGAAACAGGATGGAAACCAAAGGAGAGATCAGAAAGCTCGCAAACCAGTCTCTTCAGCCAAAGTTAACTGTAAAAGGTCGCTGAAAATTAATCTGACAAAGAACGTAAATAACAGAAACTCAGAAAGTTCAGCCAAAGACACCGCCACCACTAATACCATCTTTCTACTCTGACAACTGTGAAGGTAAAGGGTTATGTGAATATTCATGGAAGTGCCAGTAAATTGGCAGAAAACTATTTCTGAGATTAATGAATAAACCCTTAAACTCCTGAGTCATCACTTTCATAGACATCACACAATTTGTATTTATAGGCAGATAATTTGTGGGAAATGGAGTTAAAGGAAGTCTTTAATGTTCTACATTCCATTGTTGTTATTAGATGACACAATGCAAATCTACTTCCTCTTGAGATGATTCAAAATGCTCTAGGGCTAATGGAAGCAAGAAAACTTTAGTAAGAGGCATAGGGGTTCGAGCCACACTGCCTAGGTGACACAGATGCTGAAGTCAGGCTGTCTTTCTGCCAAGTTGTTAAAATGACTGATAAATGGAGGGCCAACAATTGATTTGGACCTAGAGGATGAGATGGTTGGATGACATCACCAACTCAGTGGACATGAGTTTGAGCAAACTCCGGCAGACAGTGAAGGGCAGGGGAGCCTGGCACGATGCAATCCATGGGGTGGCAGAAAGTCAGACATGATTTAGCTAATGAACAACAAAACTATTTGACTTTTTCCTACAGAATTTGGCCAACTCTTTGACTAAAGGGTCTCAACCAACTATCTTAGCATATAGATTCACAGGAAAGGTGTCAGCAGCCCATATCCAATCCTTTCCTTTAAAAAAACAGCAAATATGGCCAAATTACGTAAGAGCATTAATAATTACTAGAATGTAAATCTACTAAAATTCTAGAATACAATCTCTATGAACATGAATAAGAGAAAGCAGCCCTTGGCACAAAAAGGCAATGACAATCCCTTGTCCGTGGTTGGAAAGGTTAAGACACAGCTCCCTACAATGGTCTTGATTTCCCATCAGTGACTGAGGCCATTTTACTCATTGCCTGAATCCTTCATTTGACTAGTGTGGATGGAATTCTTAAAGATAGAGAGTTAAAAAAAAAAAAAAGGAAAATATATGGGAAAAAGAACAGAAAAAAATTGTTTAAATCTTGTATAAATGGTTCACTGACAGGCAAGGGGAAATTAAGGTAAACTTTGCTGACATTTTTCTTTGCTAATAAAGATACAACATAGAGGTACAAATGTAGAAACAAGTCCCAAAACCGTGAAAGCAAAACTAGTTTGTTCCAGTGCTTACAAAATAGATAAATAGGTTGTCTTCCTATTACAATATTCTCATCAGTCCTTCAGGACTTCCTACCTTCCCTATGCTATTGAACAAACAGAACTCTGTCATGGATTCAGGCTGGGGAGACTATAACCCCTGCAAGAAGATGCACAGGAAGAAAATAAAGATCCTTTGTTTTACAGCTAGAAATAAAATTTATGTTCCTCCCCTTCACTAGGGGAAATGGACATATTTTGAGTCTAAGTAGTATGATCAGTGTTGAATCGAATTCAAATCCCTTTCTCAAGACAAAACTAATCTCTAAGACATCTCCAAGTTCACGGTGAACGCCTTTGTCTGTTGGCTGTGCACAGCTGAGTGCGTGAGCACGTGTGAGCTGCTTTATGAATTCTTGGTGGTATATTCAGAGTGCTCAAGGCTATGTCAGCCTATGAGACCTCATCGACAGACAGAGGAAATTAAATATTAAAACACTACTTTGAAATAACATTAAGGATCTGACAGGATGCAATAAAAGCCAGTAATCTGAATAATAAATAAATTCAGTCAATCTCTACCACTTCTTCTAATGGAGTCATCGCAGGTTTAAAATGGGGAACAACCTGCTTTGTGCTATTGGCTAGGATTTGTATTCCTTTGATGTCTGTTTATTTTGTGACTTCTTTCATATTATTAAAATAGATCTTCATATACTTGCCTTATTCTTTCTTTTATAAAACAGAAAACAAACTTAACAAGCATGTACTACCAGTTCATTACTTAGGGAATCTCCCTGGAAAATGAGAGTTGAAGAGAAGCGTGCATGTCTTTTATGTGTGTGTGGTTTCACTTGAATACGAATCTCCCCAATACCATGAACCATCTCCTAGTAGAAGCTATGATCTTTTGATTAAATACACTGAAATGTTTCAAAGAAGATATTTTATAACCATTAGACCCTAATAGTATTCTAGGAAAGGCTTCAGTTTATCATTCAAACTATCCAGGCATATGGTAACCCTTTCTGAAATAAATGCTTCATCTAAAATAACAGAAAACACACATATAAGTAAATCACTTTTCAAAAATAATCTTGGCACACAATGTTAACGATACATAAGTTTCCCAGTGTCATATTCTTAACATATGTGGCTCAGTCCTAAGTCATAAAGAAGAAGTCAATGAAAAAACTACATTTTCTATTGTTTTTCTTTACGTGTTCCTCGTTTTGGACTCCTCATACTGAGACATGGTTGAATCCTAAATTTTTATAACCAAGGTAAAAATCTCTGAAAACCAGGGTTCAGGGTGAGAAACAGACTTTTACCCAAGACAAGGCAGAACCATTCCTTTGGGACATCAACACAATAGATTTTTTTCCCCCTACACTGAAAGCCAGAGAACCCTTATAAAACAAAAAGAGAACTGCTTCTGTTACAGTACATAAAAGAACATCAACGGTTTGGGAGCGGTTACGGAGTCTAGCTATAAAACCAGATTTTAAACTGGAGGTTACTGACAGATTATAAAAGGTTAACCGTTGGATAATCTGTAAAAGATGCGTTATCTACACATGAAAAGGTTACAGTTCATAAATGCTAAAACACTGTGTCTGTTGGCATTTAGTGAAATCTTGCCCTGGTCCTCATCTCTGTACTGGGTGGGGAAATAAAAAAAGAGAGAGAGAGAGAAAAAGCCCTGCTCTGCTGAGGTTTTTATTTCTCTCCAAACAAATGATCTAAATAAACCCACCAAACGCAAACTCTGTGATCATCTTAGTGGTAGATATATATCTATTTGCATACCTAGCAACTGAAAGTACAGCAGATTTTCTGCCCATCAGTCCTGCCTCTGCTCATCAGGTAAGTACCTGGCTCTTTCAGCTTTGCAGGTGTTTCCCACACAGTGATACAGCAAAGGGTGTTTTTGTTTTTGTTTTTCTTTTTTCTCCTGGAAAGGAAAAGGAAAATAAGGAAGTAAAGTGTCAGGAAGAGGAGGGCTCCTCTCTGGTTCTTCAGATGCTTCCTGGAGGCCCGCTGGACGGTGACACAGCCAAATATCATGGCATGATGCTTCCTTAGGTTGAGTTAAGTCTTATTTTCTGCAAAGGCAAGTAAAGGTGACTTCCGAAAGTTCGGTGCAATGAAGAAAAAAGAAAGGGGGGGGGGCATTTTTAAAAAGGTTAAAAAAAGGAAAAAAAAAGTGCTTGAAAAGAATCCTCAGGGAATTATCTGGAGGGGATCCCGTTGTGCAGCATCCCCCTGCCTGGGGGCAGAGCTCCTGGGTGCAGACTCCGAGTGGGGACTGTCGGCAAGGCCTTTCTCTGGGGACGCAACATTTGTCCGAGAAGTTTCCAGACAAAGTTGTATTCCTCGACATGCGGCCCCTCCACCTCGGCCTCGGAGACCTCACAACTTTTTGGCACTATCATGGCACGCCGCGGCCCGGAGGGTGGTCCCAGCCAAGCCCCGGCTGCTGACCCGGCGGACCAGCACCTTGGACACCGGGATTTTGGTTCTGGGCAGCTCGCTCCTGGCTGGTGGCTGGTGCACCACCGGGTGGCTGGATGGCAGGTTCGCCAGATGCTTGATGCTGACCGGGATCTTGGAGTCCTTCAGCAGGCTCCCCGGCGTTCGCAGCGGGCAGGTGATGGTGACCGGAGACACAGGCTTTAACCGGGAAGAGCAGGACGTCTCCTCGCTGGCGGCGGGGGCGGCGGGCAGGGCCGCGGGGCTTCCATCCGGCTCGGCGGCACAGAGCTCGTGGAGCGCGTCGCCACTGTCGCTGTCCCGGGGGAGGCCCGTCTTCCTCGCGCCGCCGTCCTCCTCCGGCCTGGGGGTGGGGGAGTCCCAGTAGCCCTCGTCGCTGTTGGGGAGGCCTTCCTGTGGCTCCTTGTCTGGGTGCTTGGGTTCTTCCTTCGGGGGGAGCTCCGTGGGGACCCGGTGGAGCCTTCGGCGCTTGACCGAGGACGCGTCCTTGGTCACCTCCGCACACCTGGCTTCTTTGGGGGTCTCGGGAGCCACCTGCGCGTCGGACGCCGCCGCCGCCGGGGCCGCTCCTCCCTGGGGCCCCTCTCCCCGGTCCTCGGTCTGGGACAGCATGTCCCAGAACTCCTGCAGGTACGAGTCGTCCGCCTCGGCCGGGCTCGCCATCTCCTCCCCGCCTCCCTGGTAGGCCACCACGCCCGGCGGCTTTGTGGCGGGGCCCGGCTGGCCCGGCCCGGGGGCATGCTTGGCACAGCCGGGCCCGGCCTCGTCCTCGGGGTCTGCGATAATATCTCCGCAGCCTGTAAGAGAGTCAAAGCTTTTCAGTGAAGTCACGTCAGAAAACATCAGACAAATACGATCTGCCGATGGGTCGGAGGGCGGATCGACCGAGGAAGGGTCGGGGGCGGCTGGCGCGCGGCCGCCTTCGGAATCTGCCCGGGGCGCCGTCTCTGCCGGCGCGGCCCCGGGCCCCGCGGCGTCCTCGGCCGGCCGGCCCTCCCCGGCGCGCGGCTCGGGCTCGGGGGGCGCGCGGGGCCGCTCGGCGCGCCGCCCGGGCCCCGAGGCGCCCTCTCCCGGGGCGCAGGCCGGCTCGGGCTCCCCCGCCGCGGGCTCACCTGCTGGCTCCGGCTGGCGCGCGGCCGCGGGCGCCTCCTCCTTGACGCACTCCAGGCTGGCGGTGAGCGAGCCCGGCCGCGCCAGGCCGCCCGGGGCCCCCGCGCGCCCCGCCGGCGCCGCGTCCTGGGGCCGCCGGTCCTTCCTGCGCCAGCGCACGCCGCCCAGGAGCCCCCGCAGCCCCCGCTTTTGTCTGCCACCGGCCTTGCCCGCGTCGGCCTGCTCCGCCCCGCCGCTCTCGGGCCGCCCGTTCTTCCGCAGGAGCGAGAAGAAGCTGTGCGACTTGGCCACCGAGCCGCCGGCCGCCGGGCCCGCGCCTCCCGGGGCCGCCCGGGGGGCCGCGGGGCCCGGCCGCGCCCCGTCCCCGCCGCCCGCGCGCGGCTCCTCGCGGCGGCCGCCCTCCAGCGCCAGAGCCTCGGCCAGCCCGTCGTGCGTCCGGCTGCGCACCAGCCCCGCCGGCCCCGCGCCCTTGCCGTCCCCTTTGTGTTTGACCCCGAAGATGCTGGGCATCGCGCCGCCCGGCTTCCTCTTCTTGAACAGTTTAAAGGCGGCCTTGTTGATCTTCCCCGACGGCGGCTCGGAGGCCGGCGGCTCGGCTGCGCGATCACAATGCAAGTCCATCTCTACCGCGAGGGTCCCGGCCGCGGCCCGCGCCTTCCTCCCGCAGCCCCCCGCGGCCGCGCGCCCGCCGCTGACAGCCGCGCCGCGCCCGCCCGTCTCCATGGCGACGCGAGCAGCCCGGCGTCAGCGCGGCCCGCGCCCGCCCGCGGTCACCCGCGCTCTGCATCCGCCGGCGGAGCGCGGGAGGGCTGTCTCCCCTCCCGCCGGGGCTTATATAACGCCCTAACCCACTTCGCGGCCGGCTCGGCTTTGTGCTGCGGCTTTTCTGCGGCAGAGCCGCGAGCTGATTGCAGAAATTAAAGGCCCATAATCTCGGAATGCAAATTCCACCCAGTCTCACCCACCTTCAGATTCCTCCTTCCGGCTTGCTCTTTCCAGAAGCCCAGTCCGAGGATCGAAAAATGCCCCCCCCCCCCCCCCCACATGGACAAAGAAAGCCACGCCAGCACAAAATGCGGATCTCTCCCATCAGCCATCCGGGACTTCACGACTCTTCGTGCCTTCCCCACACCCTTCATGTCCCTCTTTATCACTGGGATACCAAGCCCGGCTGCCCAGGTGGCTCAGTGGTAAAGAATTCGCCTGCCAATGCAGGAGATACAGGTTCGATCCCTTGGTGGGGAAGATCCCCTGGAGGAGGAAATGGCAACCCACTCCAGTATTCTTGCCTGAAGAATCCCATGGACAGAGGAGCCTGGTGGGCTACAGTCCATAGGGTCGCAAAGAGTCAGACATGACTGAGCAACTGAACAACAACCACCACCACCAAGCTCTCCAGGCACAGAGGGTATCTGTTTACATCAGTCAGGTCCAGGGTGGAGCACGGTCTCCCAGGGGATATGGAGTCTGTGTTACTGCCTTTCTGGTTCCTGCCCCAAAGGCATGGTCCATCAGTCAGATACCATAAAAGCAACTCTCTGCCATGCAAGTGCAAGTACTGCAAGGTGGAAGTGGACTGGTCCTGTGGTACAACCTTGACTTTTATCCCAGACTCCAGCTACTGGAGCTGAAGTCACAGAAGCCATTAATTAGCCAGTCTGACCAAGCTGAGGATAAAGCACTCAGTTTGAGACTCTCAGGTCCCCTCCACAGGTGGTCCATGGAGTCCAGGGTCTACCCTCTCCTTTTCCATCCAGCAGGGCCCAGGCATGACTCCTGCTGCTGCTGCCAGTCCTGTTCACCATCTCCCAAGGCTGGTCTGTAGCCGCCTCCCCTATGGGGCAAGAAAAAGCCTGGCAGGGTCCCTGAGTGCCACTTGGTCTGGCTGCTTGATCTGGGTAAAGGGAAATCTTGTCCCACATAGAGCCCAAGCTGGAGATCTTTGCTATGTTCTGACTTTGAAAGTGGCTGCTGATATCTTTTTGTGGTTTAACAGCTGGTTTCTTTTTAATCGCTGAAGAATATTCAGTTGTACACACGTGCCACAGTTTATTTACCCACTGAGTTGGGTTGTTTCCAGGTTTTGGCAATATGAATAAAGCTGCTTTAGGTATTCATATAAAGGTTTTTCCACAGATGTAATATTTCTAGGCATCTGAGTAGACACCTAGGAGTACAGTTACTAGAATAAGACTAGTGTTGAATAATTTGAATATAAGAATAGTTGGAATAAGTTGAGTAAAACTGTTTACCTGGGTAAGAAGCTGCCTAACTGTCTTGAAGCCGCAGTATAGTTTTGCGTTCCCACCCATCGTGAATGAGCGTTCCTCTTGCTCCACAACGGCTATTGGTGTTGCCAGTTTTCTGGATTACAGCCATTCTGATAGGTATGGGTTGGTATCTTATTTTAATTTGTAAGTTCCCATATGACTTGGAGCATCTGGTAACCTTGACACCTGACTTGATGATCCTTGCTGAGGGATTTTAGCAAATAAAGATGAAAACTGGAGAAATGCATGAGGAAGCATTTGGGAGCCCACCACTCTCATTGTCACCATCAACACCATCAATTCTTTTCTCAGGTGTCTTCCAACCCACCTTTGCCCTAAGATTCTCTCTTAGCGGAGCCACCAGAATGTAACGTGGAAAAGGCTGGGTGAGGAGTGTGGCTTCAAGCCACAGTGTGGCTGCCAGAGGACCTGCCCCTGCCACAGCATCCCTATTAGGGAGACTGAGGGTTCTATCTTAAATTTGCTTCATGTCATTAAAGGGATAATGTTTAATCAGTGAAGTTTGAAGTGATACTCGACCTGGGACAAATACCTCCCAAGGAGAGCCCCAGCTTTGCCCTGACCCTCACCCAGGGTTCATATCCCAGGCCTGGCCCTGCCCTCCAAGAAATGTTGAGGTTCTCTTGTGAGCTGAAACCAACAAGGTGACATGCACAACTGCCAGGAGAGCATGAGTGGGTGCCCCTTGCAGGAATCCTGGCCAGGAGGGTCCCATACCCTTATTCCTGGGGGAGGAGGGGATGCTCTGGGTCAGGGCTGGCAGGATGAGAGCTAGAGGGTCTTGGCACAGAGAGTCTCAAGCTAGATTGAAGTCCTTATGTTTTATTTCTCACATTTTGATTCCTGATGGCTTCCCTGGTGGCTCAGATGGTAAAGAATCTGCCTGCAATGCAGGAGATGTGGGTTCAATCCCTGGGTTAGGAAGACTCCTGGAGAAGCGAATGGCAAGCCACTCCAGTATTCTTGTCTGGAGAATCCCATGGACAGAGGAGCTTGGAGGACTGCAGTCCATGGAGTTGCAAAGAGTCGGAAACGACTGAGTGACCAACACTTGCACCTGACTCTCATTTTGATTCCTGACTTCCCCGAATATCAGCTTTCACTATGGTTTGATGGCTGTTCTGAGTATGTACATATTCAGAAGATAAACTCATTTCTAATGAGTAGATGCAGGTGTAAAAAGCCCAGCATGACTCATGATTTTCCGCATTAACCAGGTGCACAGCTGGGGCTGCTGAGGGGACAGAGGTCCGCCTTGAGGAGCAGGAAGCCACAGGGGTTCTGGAATGGTCGGGAAGCTCAGCGCACAAGCTGGTCTGGACGCAACAGGTCCTCTTTCAGACGATGTCCCCTCAGCCCGGGCCCCATGGCTTTGTACCTGGGTCCTGGAGCAAGAGTGCCCAACAAGAGACCAAATGAAAGCAAAATGAGTGCTTCTTCGAAATGCCCAGGGGCCCAGGCGCAGGAGCCAGGTGGCAGAGGGCAAAGCTGTATTTGGGCAGTGGCCGTGCCTTTCCAGTGGCTTCTGGTGATGGCTGCAATCACGGTGCCCCTCGGCTTCTAGACACTTTGTCCTAAACACTGTCCCCATCTCCACACAGTGTTGTCTGCATCTCTTATAAGGACATCAGTCACGTGGGTCAGGGGCCCACCTCACTCACTCCAGCGAGACCTGATCTTAATTTACATCTTAGTCACATCTACAAATACCCTGTTTCCAGTAAGGTCGCATTCCCAGGTGCCAGGGGTTACGACTTCAGCACGTCTCTGGAGGGACACGATTCCCCTCGCGACAAGCGTTTTCAGCGGTGCTGACAGCACCCGCCATGCTGCCGTTCTTTGGCTCGGTCACCAGTACCCTGGACACAGATGTCCACGCTGGTGGCTTCAAGTGGGGCCTGGGCTGCTCCCGCATGTGGGGGCCCTTGGCAGATGTCAAGATCATGGGTGGCACTTGTGGAACTGCCAGCAGTGAGGGGACAGCACTCCTGCCAGCCAGTGTAAACAAGAAAGTGGGAGTGGGCTGTGATACCCTGAGGAGCCTCAGATTATCTAGGGGGAACTTCACCCAGTGATCCTCTTTTCTCCTAGTCTGCTGTCTAGCTGGGGCTACTCTTGAGAACATTCAGTCCAAAACAAACACATTGTTAATCAACTATACTCTTATATAAAAAAAATAGTGTTTTTAAAAAGAAAAAATATTCCATCCCAAATTGCAGGGTGGGGCGGGGTCTCTCCAGACCCTTGGCACCAAGGTGGCCACAGGGAGGCCAAAAACAAGCAGAATGAGGTCAGGTAGCAGAGGGCATGTGGACAGACGCCAAGCCTCACACTTGGATGAGCACACATCCGGGAAGGCCAGGCTCAGCTGCGGGAACCATCTAATCCTAGCGGGGATGCAAACTAGACCAGAGTTCAAGATGTGGGCCCACAGGTAAGCATGCGGAGGCAAGACACAGGAGTTCACGAATGTGAGCCCGGAGGGGCTGCAAACAACCAGCCAAGCCCAAGCCCCTGGCCCCTCATTGAGCTTGTGCATCTGGCAAAGGAACTCCTTCCTGCCAGGAAGCAGCATCACACATGTGGTAGGTCCAGCCTTCTGAGCAGACACAGGTCACCTCTGAGCCGCGGTACACCCTCTGCTGTTCATCACTGCCACCTCTGCTGGGAGAATCCCCTCGTCACCACCACATGGAGGCCTTGGGTGGTCGTTGACTCCCTTTCACATCTGTCTCAGAGATTCCAGAAAGCTCCCCTGCTTCCCCCACCCCTGCCCCACATGATACTACCTCATCCCCAGCTGCCAGGATGGCATGGGGACACACACAAGGACGCTCAGCCCGTGGGGTGTCCTAGCCCCGCTCCTTTGGGGTGGACCTGGGTGCAGGGTTAGCCATATGCTTCAGAGTTTATTTCGCAGTAAACTTAGCTTCTAAAGGTGAGTCTTCTCTGTTCTCCTGCATGTCTGCCTACCTATTCTAGTTTTCCGGCTCTGTCCCATCTGCTACGCACAACACATAAACAGTGGCTCTCACACTCTGTGTTCCAGCGAGTCTGAGCACAGCCCCTAAGTAGGTGCTGGCCGTCTGCATCTGAACCACTGTCGCTGTCACCTGGGGTAGTATTGCCCCGCCCCACCCCATACAGCTTAGGATTCCTATGCACGCTCTCCATGATGGCAGGGACCCCAGGTCCTCTTGGTTTCTCTGAACTGCCGCAGATTCCCACAACACAGTCAGGCCGTTTTCTACCCAGCCTCCATCGTCTTGCCCAGGGCCCGCCCCTCAGAAGTGGGCTTTGACTTTGGGGAAACCAAGCTGTGAGGACAGTGAAGGGTATGGTTCTTCCCCAGCAGGTACACAGCTCTGTTAACTCAATAGGAGGCCGATGAAGCTCTTTCTGGGGCCACCGTCTCCCTGTTTTGAGTCACGCAGGCAGATGGGTTACTTCCCTTGGTGTTCTAAGGTGTTACTTGGAATTCTGCTGGCTTTTACAACAAATAGCTCCCCAAATATCATGACTCAACCCAGTAGAGGACTACTTCTTGCTCACCCTCCGAGTCCCTGGCGGATGTTCAGGTCATTGGAGGCGGTCTCCGCCACAGGATCTGCAGAGTCCCAGCTGTCTTGCCCCACTGTCTTCTCTGGGGTCCGGTTGCTGTCTGCATCCAGCTGATGGGAGGCGGGGAAAAACCCTGGGAGAAGCTCCGACTGAGACGCGGTGCATTTCACTTCCTTTCAGGGTCTGTTGGTGACAACTAGGCATGTAGCTGCATCTAGTGACAGTGAGAGTGGGAGATCCCGTCTCAGCCATGCCTGGCTGCATGCCCACAACTGTGGAAGGAGAGAAGAGATTCGAGCGGACAGCTGGCAGGATCTGCCACCCATCCACCCACCCCCAGCCATGCGAGGAAAGGAAGCTTCCCACCCCCAGGGGTTCATCTGCCTTCCTGCCTCCTCCTCCGTGAGCCGTGTGGGAGATCCCAGGACCTCCGGGCCCACACCCAGTTCTCATGCCCTGTAGCCTCCTTCAAAGAGAATATTCTCTGTTAAAAAATAAGTGTATCTGGAGAAGTAAATGGCAACCCACTCCAGTATTCTTGCCTGGAAAAGTCCGTGGACAGAGGAGCCTGGCGGGCTGCAGCCCATATAGGGTTACATGACTGAGCATATGTGCATGAGGGTGGAGGGAGATGGGTTGGTAGCAATAAACTGGTAGAACTGAAAATAATAATAATAAGTATATCTAGTAAATGTTCGAAATGGGCTTTGTAGGTGGCTTAGTGGTAAAGAATCTGCCTGCCAATGCAGGAGATGTGGGTTTGATCCCTGGGTCAGGAAGATTCCCTGGAGAGTGTTATGGCAACCCACTCCAGTATCCTGCCTGGAGAATTCCATGGACAGAGGAGCATGGAGGGCTGCAGTCCAGGGGTCACAAAGAGTCGGACAGGCCTTAGCAACTAAGCAGCAACAACAATAAAATGTTTGAAATAGGCTAAATTAACCACCTGGCCGTGTTATCTTAGGAAGGGTCCCCATGCTGCCTTAGCTGTATCCATTCGAGTTTATGGAGCATCTACTGTGTGCCTGGAGGTTGGCAGAAATCAAGCATGATGCCAGCCCTGGACACTGACCAGGAGACTCATCACTGTGACCCTTATTCAGTATGAAACTCTCCACCTGGCCAGATTGACGTGACCTGGTTCCATCTCAGTTGTGGACCAGTGCGATGGGGCCTTGGCAGTTCACATGTTAGATTTCTCTCCTTTGGAAAAAACAAAAAAACAAACTCTGTGTTTACCTCCAGGATGGGTTAATCTCCAAACAGCCCGGCGCAGTGCTTGTGCCCAGACACTGGCCCCTCCTGGGCTTGGGGCTTAGCCCCTGATCTGGCTTCACGCGGTTCCCATTTGTGTTTTCTTTGCCATCCACCACCACAAGGGTACTTTTTTCAAAAGACAGACATCTCAGCGGATGAATTCATTCTGGGATGTTTCCCGGACACACACCAGTGAGCTCATTAGCCCAAGCTAATACCAGGAGGCTTCCCCGCCCCCTCCCCTCTTTTTCCTTTTTCTTTCTTTTTTCCTTTTAGTTTGCAGCAAAGAGCAGGACCACGTGATGTCCTCCTCTGAGCTCTCACTAGTTGGGGCAGCAGGGACTAAAATCACCCGCGGGAAGGGAGGACTGGGCCCTTCTTCTTAGCCCGCTTCTTAGGAGTGTCTGCTTTTGTTTAGCTGACGACAGAAACGCATACAGGAGATTTCTAGGTCAGCTACTCTCTGCTCTAATGAAAGAGAAATCGAGCCAAAGAGCACAGCAAAACCGTGGCCTGGCTTTCTGGAGTGCCTTGTCTGATTACCCAATGATTACGGCTCAGACAAGGCAGGGATTAACCCCCGAGGTGGGACAGATGGGGAGCACTCTTAAAGCACCCCACAGGGGGTTGCAGACTGAGTAGCAAAGTGACCACCTGTCCCCATCTCTTGGGTCAGCCTGTCCTCATTCAGGGCCTCAGGATCGCTGTCCTTGAGGCCCATGTGTAGAGCCAGCGACTGCCCCTGGCTGGCTCAGGACCCCTGCCCTCCTGCATGTCCGTCCCCATTTTCTGCTCTACCCTAGAATGACCTGGTAGAATTGTTCAGCTGAACTGCCAGTGACTTGGGGCTCGGGGCCTTTGGGACCAGGGCTGGGACACTATCAGATTGTAGCGGACAGGACGGTTTCCATCCAGGCCTCCTTTGCTTTGTGAACTTCTGAGTGGGCAGCTCCTTCTTTTCCTGCCCTCCAGGGGCCACCTAGGCTGCTTCTGTGTCTCGGAAGCTGGAGACAAATGAACTGAGATCCGTCTCGTGTCTTGTGCCTTTTTGCTCCTGTATTTGGGAGGTCAGGACAGTCTGTACAAATCTGGGCAAGGAAGTCCAGGGCGACCATACAGGCAGGAGGTTGCTGTTAGCAGCCCATTCAATAATCAATAAACTATCCTTGATCCTACAGAAGTGGTGATGTTGACCTCGTGAGGATGGGTCCAAGAACATTCATGCTTGATGAGAAGACATTATGTCAAATTGAACATGTTGGGTGACCTCAAATTCGTAATGATTTAGCCAGATGAAGATTTCTTTCTTATCTCTCTAGTTCACGTGTGCTCAGGAGCAGTGCACGGAGCAAAGTGACGGCCTCTTCCACTGGAGACATGGGAACCTCAACCCTGTGAACAACAGCCCATGCGCAACTGCAAGGCCCCCAGGAAAAGGGCCTCTCACATCTCCAGGCAGCTTACTCTGAGTCTGGACGATGCAGCTCACTCTGCTGGACGATTTCACTAGAGACATTTTTAATAGAGTTGAATTATTTTGTATCTTATTATTATTATTTTGTATCTTCCATCCTTTCATCCTCATTCTACCCCAGGTTTTATGGAACAGGGATTGTTCTAAGTGATTCTCATGTGTTAAATTATTTAATCCCAACTGTCATCACATGTTTTACAAAAGAAACCGGGACAAAGAAGTTTCATGATTTGCTCCAGATCAAATAGCCAGAAGGTGGCCAAGCAGCTGGCTCCACAGCCTAGCTTCCCAATCACTGTCTGGTATAGTTATTGCTAAATAATGTTTCTCTCCAAAACCTTAGTTGTTTAAAACAAGGCTCATTGGATTGGCTCAGAATTCTGTGGTTTGGATATTTCAGGAGGGCTTTGCTGGGTGGATCTTCTGTCCCACTGGTACCAACTGAGGTCCCTCGAGGACTGCGGTGTGATGACACAAGAACTGGGATGGGAGGGTGACTTCATACCTGGCACGTGGCAAGGACAAGCCAAAAGGTTCCACATGACTTTTGCCAAATGACCGGTGAGTACTTCTTTCCATGACAACTGGACCCCCAAAGCAAGCATTTCAACCTGCAAAGGCAAAAGCCGTATGCTTGCTAAGACCCAGAAGTTACCTGACCCCACATCCACTGAATTCTATTGATTTAACAAGTCTCAAGGCTGCCCAGCTTCAAGGGGAAGATAACCAAACTCCACCGGTTTATCAAAGAATGACAAGGTCATAACACAGAAGAACAGGTGA